ACTGGGCGGATTTGAAAGAAACATAACAAACGGAAACACTTACATTCTGGCCACCTTTCCCAATAATTCTTCCAACCAGTCTACTTGGCACAGCAATTTCAGTACACAGACGCACTTCATCAACATAATGGCACCTCTGTTCTGCAATGCGCTGATATATCCAAAACTGCGCCTGAAATATTCACATTGAAAAGGAGGCCAATTTTGCTACAAAAGAATATCCTTTCTGGGAACCAATTTCACCCTCTTTCTTGAGTTTTTCTCCAGTAAACCACAACACATCCCTACTTTTTTAATGGGAAAAGGAAGGAATTATTGCAGGGAAAATAATAAGGCCAAAGTATGTTAAAAATAAACTGTATAGAGCAACAAATACTACTAATGTTAAGGAATGTCTATTTACTTTGTACTGCTGAGGATCATTGCCAGTAATTGTTACAAGGCGTTCATCGGCATGCACATCTTTCTCTTTGGGCTGTTTCGGCGATGCCACCTGAAAGCACACGCAAATTCATTACCGATACTAAATGTGGCTACTGTTGAAAACGAAAGGTTCAGGCTGTGATGAAGACTGTAGTGAAGTGCAGATTTTAACATCACTGCAGCCATGCATTAACTAAAATACTTTGCCAATGAAGTGAAAGGTCGGATGCAAACGTGATAATGGGATAAGTGGAAATCGCCGCTTCTCTGAATTTTACAAGGAGAAGCGACCAGGCTGACAAGCCCAAAAAGATCACGTGATGAATATGGCACAAATTAGCGACAGGTAACCCAAGACTGACTTCTTGGAAGCTGCGCTTTGCTCGTAGGTGCTGGCTTAACTGCAAAAGAAAGCAGCATCCGTTCGAACAAATGACTCAACTTCACAGGGTGTGACGAGACAAAAATCAGAGATTGCACCCGATGACGAGATAAAAGTCAGAGATTACAACAAAGTCCATATTGATGACTTGGACGTTCATGGCATGGTACTGTCGGTAAAGTCTGGCGACCGTCGAACAAAGTGAAAAATATTAATTTTTATCAAAATAAATTTCAACCGTAGCAGCTTTTTCTGCGCCATTCTCATCTTTCTCATTTGATTTGGCTGCCGCAACAGCAGAAGTGGTAGTAGCGGCAGCAGCAGCAGCAGCAG